CTGACTCTTCAAGACCAAGGGAGTGGGCATCATATACCTTAGAGACATACTTGTACCTCAAGTTGAAAAACTCCTGGTCATAGTCCGGGTGGACCAGATTCCATGCCATTTTCATGCGAGCTTCACAATCTCGCTCATTCTCATCCACTAGCCATTCTTGTTCAGCAGCCAGCTCCGCCTTGTGGTTAATTTGCACCTTGGGCCAGCTCGTCCTTCAACCGGGATTCGTCTACCCTAAGCTGGGTATTCTCCTTATCAGCATCCTCCAGTGCCTTTAGATCTGACTGAAGGTTTTTTATTTGAAGCTCAAGGTCAGACGTCTTATTATTGGCCGTCTCCACAGCATTTGTGAGCAACTTGATCAGCTCCTCCTGTTTCATCTCTCGGGCTTTAGTCCTTATTTCATTCATAATACATTTGTATTGAGCAACATCAAGGGTATCAGCCGCCCGTCTATTGGCGTTTCTTACCTCCTCTTGCTTCTTTTTAAAGGGACTTTGAGCCCTTCCACTCTCAGCAATACCTGCAAAACTCAGCCGGAAAATTGTTAATTTACCTCTATTAACTCATCCGGAAAAAAGTTAATCTACCTCAAATATCTCAGCTAGTATAGAGCTAATTTAGCTTAGTTAACACAGCCGGAAAATTACCTCAGCAAGCAAGGCATTGATGCGGTCCATGTTGACCTAATGCACCCCCAGACCGACTCCTTTTCAGACCGGGTGAGACACCTCAGCATCCATCTTGAGTATTGTTGGAAATCAAGCCATCTTAGAGAGGCATCTGCACCAATAGAGTGATATGGTGAGATGGCAGCATAGGCGGCACCTATACTTTGCCGGCTGCTAGAGGAATCCCTCGATTGGGTAGCTTGGGACTTGACTCGCAAAGGCCCAAGTGACCATGGTGTAAGCCATACCTTGAGGTTCAGATTGAGGGGTCACCCCACCCCCAGCCGCTGTAGAACCGGATGCAGCATTGAGTAGCAGCCACTCTTCGGCGTCTCAAGGACGCCCGACTCTTTGTCAGCCGGCTCAGAACTCAGACCAAGATCCTTCAGGCTTTTGCCTTCGGAAGTTGGTCTGCCTGTATAGGCGACCTTTATGATGCCGATTAGGCAGGCGGGGCTTTCCTGGCCTTAGCGGGAGCTTTGGAAGGTTCCTCAGCCTTCCGTTTGAGCAACATTTTGGAGATGGAGCGTGGAACGTTCTTACTTCCACCCTGAAAAGTCAAACACAAGGGTCACAGTCGGTTAAAAGTCGTCTGATGACAATAAAAGATAAGTTAAAACACACATCCAGAGCTTGCCCCATCATCCTTGGACTCCAGTTGGGCCCTTTTCTTTTCAATTTGAACCTTCCGGATCTGGGCTGCTGACCTGGCAAACGTCTTTGCAGCGTCAACCATTTCTAGACCGTTTTCTGCAAAAGGAAAATCGGTTGGTTAAATGCGAAACAAATCAGAATTATAGAGGCGGCACTAAAGCGTCGGATAAGTGTTCAATGTAAGTCTATCAAAAAAGGGTACTAAGACCGCAGGCGGAGAGGAAAGCCTCATTCTTGAGCCAGTCCGGATAGGGTACCCAATTCTTGGGTACAATTATTTCAGTGCCTTCATCTAGAGGCATAGTGGTCCTCTTGAAAAATTTCGGCTCTATTATTTGTGCTCAAGCCTCCTCAGGGACATGCGGAAGGGCACATTTTTTCCCCAGGACAGCCGGCTCCTTATTGTACTGGCGGAGCTGATAGTTTAGAAGTTTAGAGGGGGAGGAAACCAAGTAGAAATTGCTTTTCCAGTTACTCCACTTAGACGGCTTGTCTAGTGTCATCATGTACTCCGGATGCGTGGTTAAAAAGTACCACGCCTTCTAGCCGCCTAGGGCACGGCTCAAGTAATGCATATGTGCAAACGCCTCCCAGCTGGGCGTTATGTCTTGCATTTCGCGAGCGGCGATATAACTTATAATATTCACCCAAGAATTGGGTGTTAATTGCCAAATGGCAAGATCATAGCCCCTTAAAATGGCTTTGATCGCATTATGAAGGGGGAACCGGAGGCCGGCTTTGAATGCCGCCTCATAGTAGCCGAAATAATTGTCGGCATGTTCGATGTCGTCCTCCTAGACGATTGTTGCCTTAGCAGGCGGCACAATAATTTCCCACCTATCCCCCATTGGGCGTTTCTCTATAAAGGCGGGAAAGGTGGCTGTTAGGGTGGTTATATCCCTGGCGGACATGTGCGCTTCAGTCGGGTTGGATATAGACGGCCACTTGTATGCCTCATCCTCCTCACTGACGGCATCTGCCTGCAGTAAGGTTGACCCTTCTGAGTCAGATCGTTGGACGGTCTCAATGTCGTCTCTTTGATCAGAATCCTCCAAAATGCTGTCATTTGGAGTGCTGGGTGCACCCGGAGGATCATCATACTCTCTGTCAGCCGGCACTCCTGATCTATAATCTAGGTCAAGTGTCGTCCGCTTTGTCCGAGCCATATTGTCCTGCACATGCACAGAGACGGTCGGATTCGAGGAAAAGCAAGGGTGGTCCAAACACCCCCAGGCGGCACCCCCAGTCCTAGACTCAGCCGTACCAGGAGACCAGCTGACTACTATCTTAGAATGTGTCGTGTGTGTGGTGGGTGAATCCATTATTCAATGCAATACATACATACGGTAAAAAGCTCGAAAGAGTTGCGAATGGGAGAGACGGTACCTCAAAGATATTTTTGAAAGTGAGGTAAAGCGTTGACCGGCTGTACAGGCAGGTGGAAATCAATCAGTTGCTTGAAAGATACACATACGGTTTATCGAATGTACCCACTTGGAAAGCAAGAGAAATTGCTAGAAATATGCCCAGACGGTTCCCAGAGGCTTTGTTTGTTGAGTGCACAAGCGGATGACCGACTGTAGCTACTTTGAAAGCAAGTGAATTAGATGGAAGGTGCCTAGACAGTAGTCCGGCTGTACCTAGCTGAAAAAGGAGGTAGCTGTCTGGAAGGCACCCAAGCGGTTTTGATGTATCTTGTTTGAGAGCTACATAGACGGTATAACGGTTGTGTCAAGCGGAAGTAGCAGAAAAATTTTATGAAAACAAGCGCATGCGGTATTACAGCTTTTCCTAAGTTTTCTCCTTCCTTCTCTCTAAAATTTTTTCAGAATACAAAAATGAAGGAGGGGGGGGAGAAAGTCTTACTTATAGGGGGATGGAACTAGGGTTACCCCTATGACTTCCCTAGGAGACGAACCGTCATTCAAAAAAAAAAAAAACGTCAGCATGTGACACCAGTCACAGGCGTCACGTGGCACGCCACGTCACCCTTTGTGAGGGGGCAAATAATTTGGGTAAAAATACCCATGCCATGTGGCCCAATTAGAATGGGACACGTGTCATCTCAAGACAGGCCCAATAAAGGCCACTTATCAGTTGACACATGTCACCCACATTCAACAAGGGAAAATGACGGCCTTCAAAGCCTAATTCCCGAGATAGCCCATTAATCCTAGGTTTCCGTAACCTAGGATAGTGGCGTTGATTCCAAGACCCTATAAATAGGGAGATATTCCCATCAAGGGGGACATTCAAAAATATTCATAGAAAAACAGAGCAATCGTTAATTGCAGATATTTAATCCTCCACTGAGAGAATACTTTTGATCTTGGAATCCGAGAAAATACTTTACTTTTCGCACTTTTTACATCATTCGAACACGTTCTAACTTGATCGTCGGAGGCGAAACTCCACCTAACTGGAGTCTCCGTTGTTTTGCAGGTACAGGCGCTTAGAATCCAGTCTTGAAATTGTAACACTCCGGAGGGGAGGGACACAGAAAACCCCGAAACAACTCTTTTTTTTTTTTTTTTTGTGTGGATGTTATTTTAGAATTCAACAAAAATAATTCCAACTCAATAAAAATAATTTTTAATTCAACAAAATTAAGATTAAGTGAACAAAGTCTAACACTTTAAAAAAAATCGATCGCATTTAACAGGTATAACACTTAAAAAAAAAAAAAAAAAAAAGGCGAATCACAACTTTCGTAACCCCTAATTGATCAATGGTGCATTATGAAGGTTTGGCAATAAATGCTTTACTAGTAACTACTTTCATCACCTCGTCACTCTAACATCAAACACAACACCTTTTTTTTTTAAATAAATAAATAAATAAAGAAAAAAAAACTGAATTTAACAAGTGTAACACTTAAGAAAACCGCCGGATCACAACTTTTGTAACCTCCTAATTGAATGATGGTGCATTATATAGGTTTGGCAATAAATGCTTTACTAGTAACCACTTTCACCTTGATCATTCTACCGTCAAACACAACACTTAAAAAAATAAATAAATAAATAAATAAATAAAATAAAAAAACCTATTTAACAAGTGTAGCACTTAAAAAAACCACCGGATCATGACTTTTGTAACCTCCTAATTGATCGATGGTGCATTATGAAGGTTTGGAAATAAAGGTGTTAATTGGTATGTTCGGATCGGGTATGATGATATCAAATCGGGTCAATTTTTAAAGTTGAGTCATACCAATTTATTGTATCAATGCGGGTCAAAATCTAAATTGGATATTTTCAGATCGGTTTTGAATTGAAACAGGTCTAGTTTACTTTTAACACCTCCATTTGAAAATAAATGCTTTACAAGTAACTCCTTTCAACTTGGTCATTCTAATGTCAAACACAACACTTTTAAAAAAATAAAAATAAATAAATAAATAAATAAATTTAACAAGTGTAACACTTAAAAAAACCACCGAGTCACGACTTTTGTAACCTCCTAATTGATTGAAGGTGCATTATGAAGATTTGGAAATAAAGGTGTTAATTGGGATGTTCGGATCAGGTTTGATGAGATCGGATCGAGTCAATTTTTAAAGTTGAGTCATACCAATTTATTGTATCAACGCGAGTCAAAATCTAAATCGGATATTTTCAGATCGATTTTGAATTGAATCGGGTCGAGTTTGCTTTTAACATCTCTATTTGGAAATAAATGCTTTACCAGTAACTCCTTTCAACTTGGTCATTCTAACGTCAAACACAACCAAGTGCATCCACCACCACCACCACTAGTCCACCACCACCACCGCAAAAATGTCATCAACAAACGCCGCAAAATCATGGCTATCATCCCTTCGACGCTACATTAAGGCACCATGGCAGATCACAGGACCTTGCGCATCACCCGAGTATAAATCCGCCGTCCCAAAAGCGTCGGAGTATCGTCTCTTCTGCCCCGCCACCATCCCTCAACAAGCCATCGTTCCTTCCTCCAACCCCGAAACCGTCTTCGACATCAAGTACTTTCCTCGAGACCAGCGTCGCAATCGCCCCGCCATTCGTTGCACTGTCCTCAAGAAGGCTGATGTTCAGAAAACAATGGCGGAAAAGAGTTTCCAGCCTTCTGATTTTCCTATTCCTTATTTGACTAAAACTATTGAAGAAGATATGGATACTCATGGTGGTGGTTACCAGAAATAGGTTTTTTTTTTCTTTTTCTCTCTCTTTTTGCTGTTTTGTGAATTTTGGATTTAGGGTTTTTTGAATTGAATTTTTTGGTGTTGTGGGTTGATTGAAAGTTCAATCTTTGGTTTGTTTATGAATACGCAAGTAATTGATTGTTTGGTACTAAACTGCATTGTCATTCTGCATATACTTGTTCTGATAGCGCGATTTGAGGTTGACCACTAGAATCTAATCTTTTGCCTCTTTTGTGAATTTTGGATTAGGATTTTTTGAATTGATTTGTTTGGTGTTATGGGTTGATTGAAAGTTTAATCTTTGGTTTGTTTATGAATAAGCAAGTGATTGATTGTTTGGTACTATACTGCATTGTAATTCTGCATATACTTGTTCTGATAGCGTGATTTGAGGTTGACTACTAGAATCTAATCTTTGGTATATGAATGAGCAAGTAATTGATTGATAGTGGATAGGATTCTGCCTACACTTGTTCCAATAGCGCGATTTGAGGTTGATTGCTAAGTTTTTTAGTTTTTAGTCTTACAATTGTATTTTGAGTGGTTTCGATGAAGCAATTTGAGGTTCAATACTTGTTTTTTACCGTAAGATTCCTCGTATAATTGTTTGGGGAGAATCATTTGAGGTTCAATTTTATCATGAATTTTGCCTTTACTTCTTTAGATAGTGTGATTTGAGGTTTCATACTTGTTTTTTACTGTAGGGCTCCTCCTATACTTATATTTCGATAGGATTGACGTTCAAATTTTATCTTAAATTTTGCCAAGACTTGTTTAGATTGTGTGGTTTAAGGTTTAATACTTGTTTTTGCAATAGGTTTCCTCCTATACTTGTTCAAGTAGTGTCATTTGAGGTTCAATACTTAATTTTTGATAGGATTCTGCCTATATTTGTTCAGGTAGCATGATTTGAGGTTTGATGATTGTATTTACGGTGATAAATTTTGCAGTGTTCCCTAACTGAGAATAATTTCTTTAGTTGGTGATTTATGAACATAGATTGCCAGTGCTAGGCTCTATTAGAAGATTCTCTTTGAGCATTGCCTAACCAATCACTTAATTAACGGAAGCTTAAGGATGTGCTGATTCTTTTAGTTGTTGGTCATACCTATCAAGTTTTTATTAGCCATGAGGATATTTGTGAAGGCTTAATCTTGGGGTTTTACTTTAGCTTGAATGGGGAGATTGATAATATCTCTTCAAAGGATCTTTTTTTTTTTTTTTTTTTTTTTTTTTTAAAGTGTTGTGTTTGACGTTAGAATGATAATATCTCTACAACTTTGGCAATCCTCCTTTGTCTCTAAAGTTTTTGACGTTTAGCTTTCATCATTTGAGCTTTGCTTCCCCTCTTTCCCCTCCCAAAGTTATAGGCGGTTTGTTGTGAAATTGTTTCACCATTCTTTTCCTTAGCATACCATGTCAAGATTGCTGTGTAGTATACTCTATATGCTGTCATGGGCAATGATGTTGACATTTTCTATAACTATAACAAAGCCAAGGAAATGCAACGACTTGCTTTAAAATCCCAAAGTAGCTTGCATTTTGCATTGCTGCTATAGTTACGTGGAGGGGTGTGTGTTTATGCCATGTTGTGCAAATTTTTTTGTGAGTCTTAAACTCTTAATACCCAATATCAGCTAATCAGCTGAGTAAATTGTTCTGATTGGGTTTAGGACTTTAGGATCCATGTACTTAAGCTTCCCCTTCAGTTTGTTCGTTCTTTGGATAATTTTTATTTGTATTAGTGAAGCATTTTGAGTTTTCAATTGGGAAATAGAATCTGTCTTTGGACTAATCTTGGATTATTGAAACTGGAGGATTAAATTGGACGAGGAGATTTTTTTTTTTTTTCTTTCAATTAGAATCATCTAATAGCCAACGGATTATTCCTCCAAGAGTGGGTGTGAGACTCTCCACTCTCCAACTGATTAAACCCTATTCTGTTATTGAATAATAGTGGGTGTGAGACTCTCCACTTTTCAACTTTTAGTAATGGGAAGATAAAGGTAATACGTAGTAAAAATTATGGGCCATTGGCATTTTCAGAAATGGGCAAACTAATATGGGATGATGAATAAAGATAATGAGCCTACTACTTTGTGATGAACGGAGTAGTTTTTAACATGTCTGAAATTGAAAATAGTTGAACTATTTCGGCCCATTCTGATGCAGAGGCTAGAAATTGTTTCCAATTGTGCCTTATGCTAATATACATCAAAGTTGAAACTGATTCAAAATCTAATTCCCATAAAATATCAAAGAAAACAGTATCCTAAACACACAAGCATTCCTTACTTGGAGAGCAATCCCGAATTTATTGAAGCATGAGGGGCTACCTTGTTTAAAATAGTTTATTTACCTTCTACTTTGTTGCTACTCTAGGTTCTCTTTGGCCTTGTTTGGATCGGGATTAGTGAATATAGAGAGGGGGAGGGTTATGGGGGGGAATTATTACTAGGGGACTAGTATAGGAAGTAAAATCCTTAAAACTAGGTTTGGCTTAGCGCCCTGTGTGAAAGATAGTATAAGCTTTATTGTGCAACTCTCAAGGCAAATCTGGATAACTAATAGCGGAGTCAATATGTAGCCATTGAGTCTTTTTTTTCCCTTGTGTTTGGACAAGGTAATAATCTTTTTGTTTTTTTTTTTTTTAAAAAGATTATTCATTTATAATTTTTAAAATGAATATTTTCTATGATAATAATAATTATCCGACATCAAAGAAAATAACCCAAGCAAGAACTGGAATATTTGGAAAATCAAACAAAAAATCTAATGCCCATAAAAAATTGAAAATAAAAATCTAAAGCACAAACCATATCTGATTACATCAGTGTGTACATGAAGGATTGTAGTTTCATACATTCATGGAAGGAAGAGGGAGAAAGATAAAGTAAAGACGAGGAGAGAACAATGGAGGTTCCAATTGATAACAGAGATTTCGTGAAAGAAACAGAGAGAAGAGGAGAGTGAAATTGAACAGTTAACCTGACTGTTACTCTAGAAAGGGGCCTTGATAATGTAAAATTGGCAAAGATTAAAAGCCCACAACTGTCAAAAGGATCTACATTCATTCTCCCCAATGCATTAATTTTTTTATTTTCTTGACAACTTCAGACAAATAACCTTTTTTGATGTGAGGGTTGAGGGAGAACAAGAAGCAGGATATATTTAAGTTCTTTTACAAATTTCTGAAATGGCTTCTTGTTTATTTGCTTTTTCTTACATATTTTGTGCTGCTTTTTTTCAGGACTCTCTGAATTAGGCGGACAGCTCTATCCTTCTTTTCGTGGCAATTTGAGCTTGCTGAGAAGCAGCTAAGCTTCTGGACAATTTTCTGTAATAATTTTGTTAAACTGGCAATGATTATCGTTGTACTCTATTTTGTAGCGGAGAGATTGTGAATCCGTTACTGTTTGGTGATTATATTATGCCTAAATAATCCTGTTATCTGGCTTTTTTAGTTAAACAACACTCCCCCTCTCCCCCAACCTTACACAAGGAAATAAAAAAGGAATACGTATTATCCTCTACACTCTGACCTCATGTCTTTACCTTCACACAGGAATAGTCAGTCCAGAGGTTTAGTTAAAGGAATTGTAGACGTTTTCAGGGAGGCTTTTAGTCTCTCTCTCTCTCTCTCTCTCTCTCTCTCACACACACACACACACACACACACACACACACACACAACGAAACTTCCAAGCTCTTGTAAAATTGAGGATATCTCGTTTACATCTCATGATTCCTGCTGTAATCCTGGATGATTTCTTGGCAGTCTATATTTCCTATAATTTAAACATCCCTTTTGGTTCATTAGCTTCTGCTTGTGTTGGTGAATTAGCTATGATCCTTTTGCTGCCTTGCTTAATTGTACCATTTAGTCCAACAATGTCCAACCTGTTATTGCTTTCTGGCTTTGACCATTTCTGCGCGTCATTCTCATCCAGGTATCATCAACCTATAATAATGGTGTCTTGTTTTAACATCAAGATCTTAAGATTAATATACATAGGTGCGTCACACAAAACCTATAACTAGATTATTACTATATTCATCCTTTAACCACGACAGTATAGCATACAAGATTAATATACTTGGATGCAAAAACCTATAACTAGATGATTACTTTGTAAGATGAACGATTATCTTACATATTGTTCTTAGTAGTTTATGATGAGGTGCAACGTACTCTATTTTACTCTCTTTTGCTCATTCTAGGTCCAGTTTAGGTCTGATTTCAGGTCCGGGCCAATTTGTGTACACCCCTAATTCCACCAATTTACATTTGTTAGGGATTTTAGAGTGCAGGTTGTGATCTTTATATAAATAGTGGTCACAGATTTCCTGCATTCAACATTCAGCTTTCTCGATATTCTTGCTTGTTTCATCCATCAATCATCAGTTATCTCTTCAGCATAAATTTGACATGAAGAATAAAAATCGCTACATTCTTTGCTTTGTCAGGTACTTGCATGATGTGAATGAATGAATTTATCTGCTGGGTTTCTTTACAATCGTACTGGTTTACAATCTACAAAAAAAAGATGAAATACCAGATTTTCACTACAGCATAGTACATACTGACATATACATAGTACATATGTGATATGTTCACACTAAATTCATTTAAACAACTGTACTATGTGCTCGAGTGATCAGGCAAATACTTCAAATCCATTTCAACCTGGTGAATTGTCCATTGCATATTTTCCAGTTTCTGCACAAAGGTTTGGTCTTAGAAATCAAGTTATCAAAGAGATAGCACAAGAAATTCCACGAAAATAAATATAAATAAATAACAAATTATTTTAAAAAAAAAATAACCTTAACAATGTCATGGTACTGCCTTGCTATGGTGTCAAAGTGTGGATCAACTCCTTGGTACTCACGAAGCCGTGTCACCTGATACAATTTACTCGTCATTAAAAACATTAGTCTAGAAAATCCTTGTGCTCTCAATTTTATACAAAGATTTGCAACTGTAGAGCACAGAAAAATAGATAAATCAACAGGGAATGTAAAACTGAAAACATACTGCTTTGTTGTATGCAGTTGAAGCCTCTTCTGTTGCCTCAACAAGGTAATTCCTGAGTAAAGGAGATCAATTTTATTATTTCAAGTCCAAATAGCGAATTTCATATGGACATTTGTTACTGACATATCACCTGATCTTGTGGAGAGCTGGTATTGTTTCTTGAGTATAGGTCGCAACAAGAAGAATGTGCTCCAATACCCTAGCAAATGTGAGTCATTAGTTAGCAATTATATGGATATTACTCCTTGTAACAGCTCTAGTATAGTTCCCATTCTTTCTTCAGATACATTAGGAATCCCCCTCGCAAGGAGGGTTTCTTAATGTCTTCTCCTTTACCTCTACAATAATAGTATTAAAAAAGAGGCACATTAAGCAAACGAGAACTTATCTCATTAACCTCGTACAATTCTTTCCTACCATGTGTTTACATAGCAACAAAGTCTAAGGCTTCGTTGATGACAAAAAAATAGAGCTCATAGTTGAAAATGACACCCTTTTTATGAGTCACAAGCCCTATTTGCATTGTAGGGCCAGCACTCGTATTTTGGAATTCAAATCCGTGTATGTAAACAAATTCACTTGTAAAACTCATGAAGGAGTTCCAGAAATATCATCCATAATAAGATTGATAAATGATTCAATGATAAAAAGAACAAAAAAAAATTAAATTTTTTTTTAAAAACTTTGAACTTCCAAATACAATTAAAACAAACATATGCAATGGTTGCAATCTGCAATACACTGCTGATTTATGTATTGTATTTTATAGAATTAATCCTTACACAAATGTATACATTCCACTCCAAGAATCAAGAGCCTTAATTGTCAGAAAGAGCTTGGCTTCTTCAAATTCAACTCTATAACATAAAGTCATTCAAGTTATAAAAAAACTAACGCATGCCACAAGATACATTTCGGTCATATATGTGATTTTATTCACTTTCATCATTTGAGTCAGTCAAAGCTGTACCAAGTTACGTAAAGAAAGAAGTATGCAACAATGGTTGCACTCTTGACAGTTGGCTTACCTCAGTTTAGCACCCATTGCCTCATGCCTCTTGATTTGCCAAGTTTTCTGCAGTTCATCCTACATAAAAATCAGCATCATTAACTGCCTCACTGTCTATATAAAATATAGGGCTTAGTCACATGAAAAGTACCCATCAGCCATAGCAACATGGAAACTCACGTATTTATGTTGATTTAGCAACTTCAAATCTTTGACAAGCTTAATAAGCACTCCAAGTATTTGCTCTAAAACCTGAGAGGAGTAGAATATATTTAATTACGTATCTAATTTTATGTCAGGGAATTTGAAAAAGATTTTTAAAAAAAGTATAATGATATTTGGTTAGATAATTAATACCAATGTACACATTACTGCTTACACACATTGTAGTATTCTGCAAATTTTCTATCAGCAGAGTAGAGATCCTCTTTCAAAGCTTCTTCGTCTTTTTCTATCTCTTCAATAATAATCTTTACCCTGATAAAAAGTAAATAGTCTAAGACTCTGGGTGCAGTAAAAAATTTAGATAGGGAACAGGGGGGGTAGTATAAATGGTGCACTTTAACGGTTTAACCTCTTTTGACGTAGGTGAGAGAGAGAGAGAGAGAGAGAGACCTTTCTGGAAGTCGTGAACTCAGATTCTGATGTCCTGATGAACCATCTGCAAAAATGACATACAAGGAGTATACTATAAAATGTATGCTTTTTTCATGCTTACATTGATCTTTATAAATTTCTGCTGTAGTTTACTCGCTGCACATCTAGTCCACTTTAGTGATGTTAACATTGTAAGATCATTGAGCATCAATAATTATGGTAATAATTTCTAATTTAGTTGTAGTTTTTTAAGTGTCAAGACTTAAAAGATTGAGAAAGGAGAATTTCACAAGATTGCCTTGAATGACTACTAGTACCAAATTTTCTAAACTGTCTAAAGCATGTGAAATTCTCAGAAAATTTTGTTCCTTAAATAAAAAAAAAAAAAAAAAAAAAAAAAAAAAAAAAAAACATCCAAGGAGATATATACGGTACCCAGTGATTTGGAAAATTAAAAAAATAATAATAACAAAATAAATACACTGTTCAACAAACTAGCGATGCAACTTTAAATACTCCATTAAAGGTTGATAGGCTACAGGATCTTCATATTAGACAACGCACCATCAACTGGTTACACAGGTTGACCGAACATAAGTTCACATAATCAAATAAAGCCGGTCTTATTCAGCATAAAATAGCAGCACTACCCTAATCCATTTTATAAAATGGACCAAATGCGGGAGCCCATTAATTAAGGGCTCAAATGTCAGATATTTCAATTTAAGTAGATGGTTGCCTCTAAAAGTGTCAATTCAGATGTCCAAATCGGGTTCGATGAGGTTGGCCAGGTCGGGTCTTATTTCAAACTTGAGTCAGGTTAAATTATTGTGTCCATGCGAGTCGAAATCTAAATCGGATAATTTTTGGGTCGGTTTCAGATTAGGTCGATCGGGTCAGGTTTTGACAACTCTAGTTGCCTCTACATGTTCAGCTTTTATCAAATCTACATGTATGAAGAAGAAAATAATCCCTTGTTCTTTTTTGTATCTTTCTAACTAGGTTAGAACCCGTGCGATCAGTTTTAATAAAATCTATTTTTATAATTTGTACTTTTTTAAAAAAATGGACAAATATAAATAAGAATTACGCACTTTGTACAAAAATATTTGTAATTTTATAGTTTTAGATTTTCATCAAAATTAGGATATTTTAGATTTTAACACCTGACACAAACCCGAAAATGGTTTTTAACACCCCCAAAAAAAACCTTTTATTTTAACACCTGACAAAAAATATAAAAATGGTTTTTACCACCATTTAACTGATTCCGTTTAGGAATCCGTTAAGTGGGTTAATGAGCCACGTGTCGCTATATTATTGGCCAAAAAATAAAAACAAAAATTAAAAAAAAAAAACCAAAAACTACCCGGCCACCCTAGCCCCACCACCGCCCCACCACTGCCACCTTCTTCTTCAGCTTGACCCACAGCCGGCGACGCAATAACCGGCGCACCACCTCCCCCTCCCTCACCGGCCGACCTTAACCCATCCCCACCCTTTTCCCGCAGCCCTAAACCACCCTAGCCCGACCACCGCCATCACCAGCCACGAATTTTTGGCCGTTGATTCAGCCACGAATTCGGCCATTGATGACCGAAATCGGTCGGTTAAGGCCACTCAGCCCCAAAACCGGTCAATTTCAGCCATTAATGGCCAAATTCGCCGGCGTTTTTGGGGAAGGAAGATTGCTCAACCGCAAAACCACCACCCCTGAAATTCGTCGCCGTTTTTTGGGCACGATTTTCGGTGGGGGTTCTCGAATTTTGGCTACGGGAAGCGAGGGTACGACGATTTCAGGTGATAAGGAAGGTTCGGTGGCGAAACTCGGTGACAGGGGGCTAGGAGAGGGTGGTTTGGGAGTTGGCAGGGGAGAAGGGCCACCGTTGGTGGCTACCTTGTGGTTGTTTGAGTTTTTAAAAAAAAAAAAAATTTTTTTCTTGTTTTTTACTTATTTATTTTTTTATTTTTTGAAAACAAGTAAAATGGTGACACGTGTCACTGTGGGCCCCACTTAACGGAATTTTTGGACGAAAACCGTTAAGTGGTGGTAAAAACTATTTTTATAGTTTTTGTCTGGTGTTAAAATAAAAGTTTTTTTTTTTGGGGTGTTAAAAACCATTTTCGGGTTTTTGTCAGGTGTTAAAATCTAAAATATCCTCAAAATTATGATATAATACCTGTTCAATGTCGCCTAAAACATATTTCAATATAGGAGTCCATTTATTAGTGTGTTAATTACAATTGTTTCATTTTTTAAAGATAAATTGAGAGGTTTTAGTTGTAATGTAGAAGTTTCTAATATTCAAATTTCAAACTTGTTAAATATGGTGGCTCTACAAAAAAAAAAAAAAAACAGATGACATCATTCTTGCATTTAGGCGGGAAAAAATTTATTATGTGAGTGACATTATTAATAGTTAATAGATTACAGTAGCAAGAAAAAGAGGGGGTTAGTGGAAAGTGGGTAAATTTTTTTACTTTTTGGGTAGAGAAAGTTATAGTAATTGAATATTATAATTATAAAATATTACAAAGTGGACCATGTGGTGGGGTAAGGAGAGATAAAGTGAGAGTTTTCTTATCCATAAAAGGAAATAAGCAAAAGTAAGATGATAAAAAAAGACCATATCTAAATGGAAAGTGGGAATACAAAAAAGAACCGGGGGAATACAATAAATTCAATTTTAAAAGCCTGGCAAAATAAGAACCATTCATTGCTAATAGGATACAAGAGTCATTTTGCACACTTATACCAAATGAATAAATGATGGTGCAAACATGCAGTAGCCAGTAGGTAAAATCCAGTTTTAGAGCATGGAGATGTAAATTGATGATGCCAACTAGGGATGGCAATTCTATCCAATCTGAATAGAGTCTAACCCTATTCAAGGAAGAAAGTCCAATTTGATTCCAAAAAAAAACAAGTCAAAGTCAAATTTTATCAAAATAAGAGTCAGATCAGACACTCAGAACTTGTGTAACATTTAATTAGTGCATTCTTCCAGGTATGTTTTCTCCAATTTTGTTTATGATACATAGAAATTCACCCCAATATCTCTCTTTCCTCCACCACTTTTCTCACACTATTTTTCCATCTTTCTACTTCCTCTCTTTTTTCCATCCTATGCCAAAATCTTTTTTCCAATTCTATGGAATTACATAATTTTTTTGACAACTTAATACCTTCAGCCATTTTTCCTCTTAAATCTCTCTTGGGCATATTACATAAATTCAAATAACATTTTATGTATTACCTTTATTGTTTTTTTTTTTTTGGTTATTATATTCGAACAGTAGATATGTAGTTTAAGAAAACTTTGAAAAAGATGAGCGTAGTAGAAACGTAAGAGAGTGTGTAAACAAGTGGATGGGCGTAAGACAACGTCGAAAAGGGTAAGACAGTGAGTGGAAAGTGTAAATATTGTGGGGGTAAGAAGAGGGGTATAATGGTATAGGGAGTATGCAGAAATGGAATAGGGGAGAAAAAAAAAAAAAAAAAGTGAGTTATTAAAAAAAAAAATCAAAGCCAATATAGGGTTGGTTACATGAGCCAAGATTACTTGTCAATGTAATATGTGCTTGCAAACCCAAATTATTCATGTCCTTTATTCTTTCCATCCAAATCATCTTTGCTCTTCCCCCACCTCTTTTGAAACCACCTTAACCCAACTCTCTACTTTCCTTAGTGTGTCTTTCGAGCTCCATAAGATATGCACAAACTATCACAATTGGTCCTCCTTTATCTTATCCTCAATGTCCACACTCCAATTTTCCTCCTAATATCTCTATATCTAATTCTTTACGGTATTCCCACTCATCAATCTCTACACACACACTCCATCTTTGCTACTCTCATCTTCCTAATATGATCGTTCTTGAATGGTAACTGACCAATGCAACAACACTAGTGTGATAGCCGCCAAAAAAAAAAAGTTCCCTTTAACTTTAAAGGTATGCTACGATCACACAATACTCTAGTTGTTGCTCTCCATTTGAACCGATTGGATTTAATCCTAAATTTTTTATCAATTTCTCCATTCTTCCGCAAAATTGATACAAGGCACTTAAAACAATCGCTCATGGGCACCTCATTGCCATTTAATATTAGTAATGAACATTTTTACACCCAAGTCCGCTGTTTTTGACCAATGTGACATGAAGAGAATACTTAGACAATCAAATAATATCCCAAAATCAAAAACAGGGGATATAATACAATAAGGGGGTGTTAAGTACATGGGACTTGAGGATAAGATTGGGAGTTTTAATCCCAATTGAATTAAATCCCTTGTTTGTTTGATGAGATTGGGAATTAAAAAAAAAAGGGACAGGAATTGGGAATAGAAGGGTTCAATTTCCACCATTTTATTACCTAAGGAGGGCATGTAATAGATGGATAGGAAATGGAATAGACATAAAATGACATTTTTGCAATTAATGAAAAGAAAGGAGGAGGAATGTTAGTAAGGGTATTTTTGTAAATATGCTACTTATTCCCTACAAATTCCCATCTACTACTTAAACAAGGTATTGGTACCTTTTTTTAAAAAAAAAAAGAAGGTATTGGCATAGTTTTCATATCTTCACAACCATCATTTTTCAATCTTTATCCCAACCTTTAATCCCTAAACTCCCAATCCCAACTTCCCAAATGCCAAATTTAGCTCAAATAAATCATCACGATCTTGATAAGAAATCAAGAAATTGAGCCGTGATATTTCACAAAATCGGATACTAAATTTCTAAATACATTAGAGAAGGGATAATTAAAGTAGAGGGGACAAGGCCTCCCAAATTCCATACTACAACAATGGTGGTGTTAGTGAGAGTGACAGGTGGCCCCGAAGGTAGTAGACCTATTAGTAGGGCATAACCACGTGGTGGCTAGGGAGATAATAGCAATCCCAACACCCTCCTCCCCCTCATTTACCACAGCCCCCTCCTCATACTTTCTTTTGATTTTTTCCTAGTTTAGGGTATTTAGACCAAATGCTTCAACAGCTAGGGCACATATGGAGTAATTTGGAAGCAATTTGATAGAGCTTGAGTATAGGGTTTGATTGTTAAGTGGGTTTAAAGTTGAGAAAATTATTGGTAATGCTGGAAACTTGAATTTTAGGACTTAGGAAATGAAGTCATAAAGGTTAAATGGAGCTTTGTAGCTGCCATGGGAGGAGAGAGGGAGAAGGTATTGAACCCCCCCCCCCTCCCTTACTGTTTTTTAAATTACTTAAACAGATGTTTGATTATCAGTCACCAAAGTATGTTCAATAATATAACTAAGGGTCACTGCAGAAAATTTTCCATCATATAGAATTTACAAAATAGAGAAACATGTGAAATATGAATATCCCCAAAGTAAATCTCAAGTAGACTCAAGTAATCAGAAACTCACCAACATTTTCCATTACAATAGCATCAGCAACTTGATCGCATTTGACTGTCAAACGAGCCTCGATCTCACGAAAGAGTGACATCTGATACTCTGCCATACCCTACAATTGCAACAAGAGTAGAAGACAACAATAAAACACACGTATATAAGCATTTGAGAAGTCAATCAAAGAAATAATGTCCAACATACCACGGATAAAGGAACCTGATGTAACTGAGTCTGCCATAAATAATTCGAAGTGATTCCCAAATAACGATTTGGAACTCCACCAATACCAGGATCACTCGTATCAGTCGCATTAGAAGGTGCAACAATTGCAATTGTACTGGGGGTACTAGTAGCATAATTAGTTGAAGTAGTGCTTGAGCTCATTGTCAAATTTGTGCTATTACTATCAAGAGAGCTTCTCGACATGATACTCCATTTCTCAATATCCTCTTCATGAATCTCACCATCTTTGGAGATATGTGGAAGTCTCAACTTTTGAGCTGCCTCAGCAACAACAAGCCGATGCTCCAGAGTCTCATAAACCTGTCATTTAACCAAACATCTCAATATCTATACATTTTAAGTACTTAACAGAACAAAAACTATACATAATTCTCAATTAACCACAAACACGACACAAATTGCCCTCACACTCGCTGAATACTCCGTAAAATTTAAAAGAGAGTACCCAATGTACCCTTCTCAGTTCTCACATTATCATCCTCATGGCAAATAACTAAAATAAGCCCCTCATAAGAAAAATTGCACAGAACATAAAATTGGCATGACAAAATGAAAATGCAATCATATATGTGATCACATATTAAAACCGAAAAAATTGAAAATTGACCTGAGGAGAGTTTTTCAGACCAAGCTGCGGGTAAAGACCCTGCACATCACGAATCCCACCTGGATTTGCAACAGATAAAGCTTGCTGATATTCTTCAACCATAGTAATTGCTTCACAATAAATTGCCTATAAAATTAACAAAAACCCATCAAAATAAACATCAAGTTCAACCACATTCTTCGTTCAAAAACCCTAATTTATTAGAAATCAACAAATAAAAAAAAAAAATTGTACCATCGCTTCCAAATACCGCAATCTTTCCCTACACATCTCCTCTCTAGCCTGCAAAAATTACAATAAATCAACAATCCCACAAAACATTTAGCGAAATCAACTGAAATTAATTGAAATGATGAATTTAAATGGGGAAAATTTACGAGTTGAAGATCGTAATAAGCAGATTTAGACACAAGGGAGCCATCAGAAGCTAAGCAATGTCTCTCCAATTGATCGACGAGTTGGGTTACATCAGCAGGTAGATTTTGTTGTTGTAAACCCTTCACCATTTTTGTTTAACTGTTGAATTCAAGCAGCAATTAGTGGGTCACTTTTTTGGGTTTGGTTTTGATTTCAAAAACTGGTCTGTTTTTCTGCATTTTGAATTTAGAAGGTAATTCATAGGTTAGCAGAAGTGCTTTCACTAAACTTAGCTGTTTTTTTTTTTTTATAAAAAAGCTTTAGTTTGGGTGGTGGGTCGGTTTGGATCGGTTCTAAGAATTAGTCGGGTTCAATTTTGAAAAGTGGTCAATTGGTTCGGTTCGATTATTTCCTATATCATTTGTATGGCTTTAAATCGGGTCGAGTCATAATTTGATTGGGTTAAAATCGGTCAGGTTGAAAGCGAGTTTAGCCAGACCAAAAGTAAGTTCAAGTTCATGTTGGTCATATCATATCTGTACTAGGTCTTTATCGGTTAGGTTAATAGGATAACAGATTAAGATGGCCAGGTTTAAACAAGTTCACATGGTTTGCGAGTCAATTTAAGCCGAGTTAGGTAATTGGTGGCTCTGTACAATTCAATCGAATTTTAGTCATGTTGTAAGCGAGTCATATTCGGGATATAATTGGGTTGATAACGCGAATTAATCGAATTATAGTAGATTTAATTTCATATCAAGTCGGGTCGTTTTAAGTTTAATTATTTCACATATTGACTTATACACGAATAATCATTGACTTATTATTAGTTTATGTTCCAAATTTTATTAAATTCATCTTAATCTAGTAGACTATATAGATTTATAAGTCATTACTCAATATTACTTCATTATCAAGTAATTAACAGCTTCTTTAGGGCTTGTTTGGCATTATTTTTTGTTTTCAATTTTCTTTTTTTAAAACAAAAAATAGGAAATAAGAAAAAGGTATTTTTACTTTTATGTTGTCAGTTTTCAAAATTATACTAATTTTTGTTTCATTATATCGCATATCATATCCCACAATCCTAAAACACTGTTGAAAATTGAAATGCTTCTACTGTAGCTTATGAATAGTATTTTCCCGGCATTACCCTCCCTTAGCTTTGTTTGTTAATAGTATTTTCTCGGTTTTACCCTTACTCAACTTTGTTCCTTGAGCTGTTTGTGTGGTGCCAGCTGTATGGTGTTCTCGCCTCCTTTTATTTTCTTTTCTCTTTTCTACATCCTGGTTTTCCTCCTTCCCTTTCATTTTGCTTTTCAGAGATTCCTCTTCTTTTGTCTTCTTAGCTCATGGAGAGGAAGAAAGGAGAGAGGGAAAGGTTTAGACTGGATTCTACAGTCGGAGGCTTAGATTTGGAGAGAGACTTGGCTGCCACCAACGCCGACGTCGACAGGTCCACCACCGACGACGATGACGCGATATCTAAACCAGAGGAGATAGGATGCGGTGAGTGAGAGATTCGAGGTCTGTATTGGGTGTCCTTTTTTGTTGTTTTCTTTGATGATATGAGCTTTGTCGGTGCTAAATTATGGTTTTGATTTCTGGGTTGGATTTTAGTGTTGAGTTTAGGAATTAGGGCTTTGATTTTGTTTCAAAAAGAGAAATGGGGATTTCTGGGTTTTAGTTTTATGTGATTGTTTGACCGTTTGTGGGTGCTAAATTATGATTCTTGATGTGATTTCTGGGATGAGATTTTGGTTTATGGGCTTATTTTTCTATGTTTCTTTAATGCTTTATTCTCTGGGTTTTGTTTAATTTTTACTGGTTATTACTCTGAAAAATTTCAGTTTTCATTAATTGATTTCCTTATGTTATATATGTGGGGTATATACTTGGCTTTACCCAGGATTCTTAATGCATCAAGTAGACTCAACCCCCTCACATATTAACTTAATTCTGTATTTGTGGTTTCTTTTCTCATATGGATATTTATGAAGAGCTCAACCTCTATAGGCTGCACTTAAAGATGAAAACAATCAAAAGATTTTTTTTTTTTTTTTCAATAAAGTTTTGTTAATGGAGCATAGAACAATTTCTTCGTTCTTTATTGATTGTAAGTATTTTCGGTTTTTTGAGTTGAATTTGTGACTTTTACCGTAATTACAATTGTGGTTTATTCGTCGGTAATTTTGTGGATTTTAATTGATTCTTGTTCAATTTTCAGGTTTCAATTCAATTTTACAATATCAATTATTCGGGATTTTCTCTGTTAGATTTATTGATGATGATGGAACCTCCACCTGCTATTATTGCTCATCTTCCTCTTGCAATTTCCCCCTTTCGAGGTCTTCAAGGTATACATATATTTCTCATTTCCCATATTTTGGGTTTTTCATTTCTAATTCTTGTTGTTGCTTTTAATCCAGACTTGATCTACGTAATAATAACCAAGAAAATTTTGTGTCAAGTAATAATGAACTCATTAGAAAATTGATCTAAGCAAGGAGGAAGAATAAAATTATCTATTCGTTAATTATCAGAAGTTGATTTTGTAGCTTAAAGAGAATGTTATATTGTTAGACATTATTGATCTCTTCTAGGCAGAAGCCATTGGGTTTTATTCAATTGACTTAACATGAAAATGCACATATGCTCATTCCTAATCATTCATTTATTCTCTTTTTTTTTATTATATTTAATAATTATGCAAATAATAACTATATTCAGTACTTGGGATGGAAATTGTTGCAGCATAAAAATCAATGCTGACCTCCTTACTAATTTCAGTGTTTGATTAGCTGTGATCGAGAGGGGCTTCCAAAGATATGTTAACAAAACAAGTGACATAAAGATTATGCTCGGGAGATGCAAAGTTTTTATCAGCATTACTACAAGAAATATATTCAAGCATTGCAAAATGTTGCCGATAAGGCTGATCGGTGAGTTGCATATGTCGGGGTAAAATAATTTCAAATTGTTTTGTCAGCTATGTTGCTGCTTTATTACCACCTTATCAAACAATTGTGTGTTCAGTGCTCAGCTCACCTAATTTAACATTTGAATTTTAAAATGATGTGAATTACGAATTAGGCTTTAGTTTTAAGCGTCAATTAGGACTAGAAACTCTAATAGTATCTAGAGATTAGAGTAACAGATGGAGAATTTGGTCTCTTCTTCTCATGGTTTTGTGTCATTCGACTTGCTTTCCCATTTGTTTTCAATTTTACGCGATTTTCAGTCAGAGATTAGAGATTAGAGTAACAGATGGAGAATTTGGTCTCTTCTTCTATGAGGTATGATCATCTTTGATTTAATTTTTGAATTTTAATGTTTTTATCTTGATTTAGCGTTTTTTGATGAATTATGTTGGATCTTGACGATCTGAGTTGATCTGATGATTTTTTTTGGAATCTGATTTTTGTTGAATTTGGGATATTGGGTGTTATTTTTTGTTTTTTTTCTTTGATGATATGCGCTTTGTCGGTGCTAAATTATGGTTTTAAATGTGATTTCTAGGTTGGATTTTTGTGTTGAGTTTTGGACTTAGGGTTTTATTTTATTTTATTTTTAAATCAAAAATGGGGATTTTTGGGTGTTAGTTTTTGGTGATTGTTTGAGCGTTGTTGGTGCTAATTTATGATTGTTGTGATTTCTAGGATGAGATTTTGGTTTATGTGCAGATTTTTGGATATTTGTATTCAATCCGACCACCTTTAACACGGCCCTGCCCTTGCATGATTCATTTTACATGCTTGCCATCTGAGCTCTTTCCCCATTTGTCTTCCTTGTCACTTCCTCCTATTCTTGCTTTCCTGAATTTGCTCGCTATCACTCATTTTCTCTTGCTTTCTCATTTCCCATGGTTATGGCTGCATGTCCTTAATCTTTTTTATGCATTGAACAAGTACAAGCTGTGTGAATTTAATCCACATAATTGTGATCATTACTTGTAGGTTGATCGAGTTCTTTACTCATCAGTTGTTTACCCACATAATTCTGACTTGGGGAGAGAGAAAATTAGGAGGTTATTGCTCAATTTTGGAAGCAATGGTTGCTCTGCTCAGGAAGGGCTGCTCTTCTTTGAGGAGGTAAACTTAGTGTAATTGGTTATATTTTTTGTTGATTAGGATTTTAATTTTAATTTTAAATTAGTTTGATTTGATTTTTGGGGTTTTTAATTAGGTGTTGTGAATTTGTGATGATTGATCTTTTATGGATGAATTTCATTTGGGTTGAAATCGGGTCGTTTATCGCTCTAGCGTAGGTGATGCTCAATAATTACCCATCTTTGCTTATAAAGAGTAGTGTTCCAATTGACGAGCGATTGTATGAAAGACGAAGTTCCATGAGGTTCTTGAAGAAGTGTACATAATCATCCAGTTGAAGCATTGCCATTAAGAGCACTACCAATGGTGAGCTAAAAATTTGCTCATGGGCATTTTAGGTGGGCATAAAATTTACTCATGCATTACAATGGTGAGCAAATGAGAAAAAGCCAAAAAATGCTCATGAGCATTTCTGAAAATGCCCAATACTCATGAGCATTTTTTAAGACGAATAGTGCTCTGGTGGCCCCACAATTTGCAATGGTTATATTTTTTGTAATGCAAATTCTGAAATAAATATTTATTAAAAAAAAATTAAAATTACCAACGGCCGTAAAATTTAATTCTCTATAAATAGACATGCATTTTGGTATATTTTGGTATAATTTCAGAATTATCATAAATTCTCCATTTTTTTATTTTAACGATAAAAACGACACAAATAAAAAAAAAATAAGTTACACAAATTTAGACTAGTTTTTATTTATTTGGAGTAATATTGTTAAAATATAAATGAAATTAATAAATAAAAAAGTGTTGTGTAGGAGAGAGAAAGTAATGGTGGAGTATTGAAAAAGTAAGAGAGAGAGGACAAGCATTTTTTTTGCTCACCATTGGGAGAGAAATTGTGAAAAATATTTGCCCATGGGCAAAACAGATTTGTTGAGAGAGAAAGTGGGTGGGCATTTTTTTTGCTCACCATGAGAGTGGTCTAAGCTTGTTTGACGACAAATCCAGAAATTAAAGCTTTCTTAAGTGGGAAAAAAACTAGGATTGGTGACAGTTAAAGTTGTATCACCTAATCAAAAGTAATTTCTAAAACCACTAGTTAAAAGTCTAAAATACATAGGGAAGTAGAGTCGAATTTACAGGGAAACAATGTTCATTTATTTCAAATAAATTATTATAATCTAAATTATCAAGTAACTAAGTATGATTTTTTATAAATTAATCTAAGGGGACTAATTAAACTAAGTAAATAAGATTAAGATATTATCAAATAAATAAGAGCCTAGGGCATAAGTTCACCAATAAATAATACTTTGGGAAGAAGGCTAACAATCAATTATCAATGCATAAATTAACCAGATTATAAATAACTTTTGCTACGTATTACAATCACATAATTAACATAGTGGTATTAAATCGCATTTCTCGAATCTTGACTTAACCATTTATAATTTAACCTGCCTATTAAAATTAAGCCTAAATATCAATTCTCGTCTCTCAAATCAATATTGCATAACTCATACAATTAAAATAGGGTTAATTTAATTGCATAGCATTATAACAATCAATAGGAAATTAACCCAAAACATTAATAATCAATAATAATAAATCATCTCTTCATATTATTTATGAATCTCCACAAACCCTAGAAATAAAACTACTTACACATGATTAAAATTAAATTAATCAAAGTAATTACAGTAAACATAATAAAAATAATAATAAACTAAATATTAAAATAAAATTATTAAACTAAAGTTAAAACAAAGAAAGAATAATAAAATTAAATAAACAAAAGCTGTCAAAACAAAACTAAAGAAAAGTTCATGAAAAGTTCCGCCAAACTAAAATTAAACGACCAAAACTAATAAAACATGAAAACTCACTTAATCTAAAACTAATGAAAAGCTTAAAGGATCAAAGTTAAAATCCTAACAAAAGAGTGACGGAAATTTAAACTAAGTCTAAAGGAAAACAATAAAGCTGACCTCCTTATAACATCTTACTAATAGGATTTATATACTAATCAACCCACAAAAACAAATCAGCCGACATTCAATCTCTCGCCCGGGTATTGGGCCGACTGACCGGGCTCGCTTCCTTCACGCCGAGCTTCTCTTGGTTATGCGCTTCTTTTTGCTTTGGGCCCAAGCTTGAGCCTTATCTTTGATTATTCTATTTGGACTAGCCCTTTAATTGTAGCTTGTAGAGTTAATCCTTTGCCAAATCAAGTCCTTAATCACCGAACCAAATTCCTTTAACTCGGTCTTTGGCTTTAAATATTTGATTATAAAATACGATCCGACTCTAATATCTTCTTAGTGGTTTAATAAGCTCGGGATATCATAATTCTGCAAATTGTTATAAAATAATACCAATTTTACAAAAACACTAGAAAACGTATATTAGTAATAAAAATAGCTCTGCGGAGCTCAAATAAGCATAAATATGACCGCGGGACGGGGAATAAAAATACATATAAAATACACTCATCAATTGGCCCTTCCAAGCATATAATGCTCAATTTGGATTGTAATTGGTTATATGGGTTGCAATGTAGTGAAATATCAATTTTCATTATTGAGTCTTTTCTTCTCTTTTTCTTTCATCTTGTTGTTTCTCTCTAAAATAGGGGTTTTAGAAGATTTAAATGTAATCTCATTATTACCCATCTCAATCCCTAATTTCATCCCCATTTTCTACGGTTCTGCTCTGATCCTCTTATTTCAATTTCTCTTTCTTTTAATCTTCTTGTTGTTTTACATGTTGATGAGCTTCGGAAAGCAAAAGGTGTTTCGGGGTTTTTGGAGTCCCTCGGGAGAGTTACAACACCGAGAATGCAAAACCACGGAAACTCCATTTTGGTGGAATTCTGCCTCCGACGATCAAGTTAGAACGTTTTCGGATGTGATAAAGTGCAGAATGTAAAGGTTTTTTCTCTTTGATTCAAAGAGAATTCTGCAATTAATATTGCTCAATTTTTGTGTGTATTTATGAAAATGTAATAAATGAAGATTTTCCTCTGTTTATAGTGGAAGGGAATCAGTTCCCTTATCAGGGATAAGGTGTCACGTGTCAGCAGAGGATTAGATCTCGTTGGGCTTTTCTGAGGCTGACACATATCAGAATGCCACTGGGCAACGTGGCATAGGGTAATTTTACCCTAAACATTTGCCCTTCACAAGTATGCCACCTCTAGGAAGGTGATAGTTCATCTCCTTCTTTATTTTATTTTTATTTTTTTTAATTTGAATTTGAAATTAAAGGGGAGGCGACGGTTCGCCTTCTGGGGTTCTCTATAAGTAGAGACCCCCCTCTTCACATTTCAACACTTTGTAAATTTTTCGCAAAAACTTCCTGAGAAAAAGCTTTGATACCGGCCGCTTTTGCATTTAACCACTTCCTCTTTCTACACTCATCCGGGCACCGGAGTGTTCTTTGCTCAAAACTCTCAGATATCGCCTGACTTTAGTTAGAGTTTCTTATCTTTTGCTCTCAATATACCCACAGCCGGTCACTACTGTGTGAGGCATTTTCAAGCCATTTTCATCAAAACCGGCTGTGCACTCGTTCATGTTCCTTAGCTTTCAATACACTCACAGCCGATCTCTACCGTGTGGGGTATCTTAAAGCCACATTTCAGAGAAACGGTTGGGTTACTTCAACAATTCAGTTGCTCTTTGAAGAGGGTACATCCGGGCTACCGTCTGGGGTATCACCGAGCAACAAATCAGATTTCCGGCTGCTGACTTCAAAGAGTCAACCGTCTTCAGATTTTTACAACTTTAAGATACCTTCTCTACCCCTTGCAACTTTTTTGCGCTTTTTCCGGATGTATAGGTTGTTAGAGAATAATGGACTCATCCAACACACACACTGCACGGCTTAGGGAAGTTATTAATCGGTCACCAGACATGGCTGAATCTTGGACTGGGGATGTCGTCTGGGGTGTTTGGACCACCCTTATTCTTCTGCGAATCCCACCGTCTCTGTTCATGTGCAGGACAGAATGACTCGTACTAGACGGACGATTGTAGACCCCGAATATCAGTCAGACGGCTCAGCCAAAGCTCCAGCTGATGATGTATCTTATGACCAGTCTGGCGTTCCTAGCGAGCCCGGAGATAAAATCTTGGAGGAATCTGAGAGTTCAAGCGGCGAAGAAACCGTCCAGCAATCAGATTCCACTTAGTCAACCATGGAGCCGGATGCCCCTCAAGAGGATAAGGAAGCATATAAGTGGCCCTCTAATAAACAATTCAACAGAGGCACATATGAGCGCACGGGATGTGGTCACCCTAAACGCAACCCTTCCGTCATTTTTAGAAAAACGTCCAGTAGGGGCCGGATAGGAAATTGTTGTGCCGCCAGATGAGGCAACCGTCATCTAGGAGGACGACCTTGACCACGCCGACAATTACTTTGGCTGCTATGAGCCGGCTTTTAAATCCAGACTTCGGTTCCTCCTCCACAACACAATAAAAGTCATTCTAAGGGGTTACGACCTTGGTGTCTGGCATCTAACACCCAACTAATGGGTGAACTTACTTGGATACATCGCCGCCTGCGAGATGTAGGACATAACGTCTAGATGGAAGGCGTTTGCACATATACACTATCTCAACCGTGCCCCAAGCGGCTGGAATGCGTAATATACATTGACCACGCATCGGGAATATATGATGACGCTGGATAAGCCGTCTTATTGGATCAGCTAGAAGGGCAAATTTTATATGATTTTTTCCCCTTCTCCGGAACTTAACCACCGGCTGCGTCACTACAACACACACTCGGCTCACCTGGACAATAAGTGTGCCCTTCCTAAAGTACTGGAGAGGGCTTGGACCAAATAATGGAGGCGGGTATTTTCAAAAATACCACCCTGCCTCTGGATGATGGGACAAAAGTCATTTTTTCCTAACACTGGGTCCTTCATCCAGACTGGCTTAAGGACGAGGCGTTCCTTTCCGCCTGTGGCCTTAACACATTTTAGAGCAGAATTATGTTAATTGTTAACCGGCACTTTATACCGTCTGTATCATGCTTGAATGGTTTCTGATTTTTTATTTTCCTTACAGAGAAAAGATTAGAAATGGTGCCGCCTGAAAAAACACCGGCTAAATCTGCTGTTGAGATCCGAAAGGATCAATTAGAGAAAAACAGGACCCAACTAGCGTCCAAATATGATGAGGTAAGCACCGGCTGAGCTTATTACCATCTGCATTATTTGTAGCTTTCTTGATACTAACCGGTTGTGTTGTTTTCTTCTGCAGACGGGGAGCAAGAATGTTCCTCGCTCCATTAGGCAGATGCTGAAAAGGTCGGCTGATGAGCCTTCCCTGCCTGCTTCAAAAAGCCGGAGGGTAACGGCTTCCCCAACCTCAACCAGAAGGCCGCCTGCGCCCTAGAGGCCTACATCCGCAGGCAAAAGCCAGAAAGATCTTGACTTGGGCTTAGGGTTGAGGTCAGAACTAAGGAGTCCGAGGTTCCCTCAAGCTGGGTGCTTGTTGTAGCATCCGGTTCCAATGCGGCTGGGGGTGGTGTGACCCTTAGCCTGAAAATCAAGGTACTGCTCTCACCTTTGATCCCCCCTCGCTGCTTGGGCCTCTGC